TAATAATAATAATAATAATAATAATAATAATAATAATAATAATAATAATAATAATATCATGGAGTCGGATTCTTCTCTCCTGGGCATCAGCTTCAGCCCGGATGGTGCAGGTTGGGGGTGGGGGGAGAGAGTAAAGCCCACCCTCCACCCCAGTCAGCCAACCCTCGGCTGTCTTCCTGCGTCTGTCCTGGAGGACTCCGTTTCTCCCAGAAGCTGGCTGGTTGTGCAGGATGGAGGAAAGCTCTGAAGGGCAACCTGGCCTTTCTGCCCCCTTTTATTCCATCCTAAATCTCCGTATTTTGAGTGTGAAGCTCTTGGTGGGATAGAAAGTTCTTTCCAGCTAACGAGATACAGGGCGCATTGGGGAAAGAAACCTCGACACCGCAGGCCACTTTAATCTTGCTTGCGTTTTTTTTTTAATCTCACTAAACTGTTTTTTTTTTTCCTCTCCTAATCTGAAAATATCAAATTTGGTATAAGACTGAAGGAGGCCGAGTTCAATCCGAGGAGGACGTTGGCCAGCGAGTGGTAGCTGTCGGTCGGGCTGCGCTTGCAACGACGGTGCTCGCCCATGGAGGACTCACCCAGTCTGGTCTATCCTGGGATCTCCCTCAGCTTCAAGGCGTTCGTGGAAGTTTGGCGTCCGGATGCTTAAGCAGAACCATCGCCCCTGCTGCCTCCCCTCCGCCAAGCGGCCCTATTATTGTCCCTTCCTTTGCCGCCGCTTCAGTTCCCGCTTGAGATTCCAGACGTCTTTGGGGCAGGCCACCGAGATTTCCCTCCTCTTCCTCCTCTGGAGCCAAATAGCTAGTGCCGCACAACGACCCTCCAAGCAGGCGAAGGCAGGCGGCAGCTGCTCCATTCAGCACCTATTCGCGGCCCGGGAAAGGGAGTTCCCATCCTCCTCCTCCTCCACCACCACCACCTCCTCCTCCTCCTCTCTGCCGCGCGAGCCTAGACACACTCCCACTCTGTCTCTCTGTGTGCGCCTTCTCTCTCATGGCTTTTGGACCCGTCCAGTCCTGGCTCCTCTCTCAGCCCAGCTCTCTCTTTCAGACTCTCTTCGGGCTCGTGGGGGTAAGAGGAAGTCTCATAATGGCTTTTCCTGTCCCGTCTCCTTCTCCCTCGGCGCCTCTTCCTCCATCCAAAAGGCAGCAGCACCCTGAGATAAATGGCTGGCCTGGCACCTTGCGCGCGCCGCGCCTCTGTCTTGTCCCAGGAAGGCACTTGCAAAACGGTCAGTACCCGCCCGCCTCCCCAGCCTCCTCCTCCCCTTCGCTCTCCCTCTCTCTCCTCCCGCCTGCCTCCTCCCCCGCCTTCCTCCCCGCCAGCCGCTCTTCGTTCAGTGGCTCTACTGGTAGGTCTCGCGGCGCAAGAACCGGGACTGACAGCCGGCAACGCAAGCTGAGCGCGAGCAAAGCTCCTTGCTAAACCCCCCTCTCGCTCTCTTGGCCCCCTCCCCGCTTGTCGCCCGCTCTCCTCTGATTGGTCAGTGGGACAAAAGTTTCTGTGGAGACGGCTGAGCGGCAACGTGACGGGCAGAATTGTCCCATTTAGGGATGCTGGGCAATGCGCATGCTGCAGGCAAGCGGCTGCAGGTTAGAGAGCGCCGCGAAGGCGAGGCTGGTCTGAGCCGCGGACGGCAAGGTGGCGCAGGAGAGGGGAGAGGAGGAGGAGGCATCTCCACATCCTCTCCGCCACAGCCAGGTGGGGGGAAGGGGGAGGGGCGTGTGAGGGGAGCGTTTCCATGGAGACTTCTTCTGGTCTAGCCTAGCCCTCTCTCTCTCCCTCCTCCCCTTCTTCCCTCCCATAAGATCAGCTGACACATCATTAGCTTAGGACCTAATTATTGCTTATTGGAGCAACACTTGAGCGAGAGGGCCAGCTGCAGGAAGCAGCGCGAGTGAGGGAGGGAAGTAGTCCCACCCTCTCCAGTCCTGGGAGCTAAGAGTCCCAAGAGGGTTCTCCTTAACTTTCAGGGTTCCAGGCAGCTACAACCCCCATCGTGTGATGCTGCTCCCTTCCCACACATCCTGCATAATTTTTGGGGGTGGGGTGGGGATGGGGGTAATAGCATTTACTTAGCAAGGACCAGATGATGCCTTTCCAAAAGATCCTCTCTCTAGGTGGTTTGTTGCTCCTCACTCAGCACATCCTTCCTGAGCCAGGAAGGCCTGTCTTTGCAAAGCAGGACAGGAAGCTTCCTCTTCAAATGGACCTTGAGTTTCTTTTCGTTCAAGTAAGTTAATGAACCACGGTTATTGTTGCTGATAGCTGAAGAAGATATCCTCATGGGTGTGGGGAAAGAAACTCCCCTTGCATTGGATTCTTAGATATCCCCTGGTAAGTGAGGGGAAGCTCCTAAGAAATTCATTAAATCAGCTGCTACTTCCTCCTTGAAGATGTTTAGAGATGCAGTCCTTGTTCTATGGAGAAGTTTCCATTTGTGCAGCCCAATGCAATGTTTTAGAAGTAAAAAAAATCTATTAGCTTGAATGGGTTCTAAAAGGGTAGCTGTCCTAGACTGTGGCAGTGCAAGTAAAGGTAATTTTGTAGCATCTTGAGGATTAACCAATGTACCACAGCATAAACTTTTGATCCACAAATGCTTATGTCATAATGGATTTATTAGTGTTTACAGGACCCCAAGACTAAGAAAGTCACAAAAATAATGTTCATAAAAGGGGAAAAGGTGAGACAATTCTATGTATGATTATGTGGAAAAATAACAGTCAGGATACTTCAGGGAAATCAAACACAGAATGACATATTTTGCTCAGTTTACAGATGACAAATATGTAGGCAACAATAACTTACTCAATGACTTGTCATTGGATCAAGTTAATCACTATCCCGGGACCATACTTTAGACTGTATCTAAAGATATAGTCTATGTAGCACTCTCATGTACTTATCATTAAGTATACATGAGTGTATTTCAAACTGAGATCCAAACCTTTTAGGGTTGATGAAGAAAAATTCTACCTGCAGTTATTTTGGTTTGGGTTTAGTTCCAGAAAACAAAGCTTCACAGTGACTAGTTGGCCCAGCTGGTCAAGCTCATCCTTATTTACCAGCTGATTGACTGCATTGGTGACCAGTCAGCAGCTAATAGGTTCTTAGAATTCAAAGACAGTAGGTTCCAACCAGAGTGAAATACCAAAAAAGATCTTAATAAATATTAAGACAGTTAGAGAGGGAAAAAGAGAGAGAGAGAGAGAGACACCAAACCACATTCCTTCAGTTTGCCAGGAATCCACCACAAAAGGCAACAAAGGAGCTGCCCTGGAGCGGGCAGTTGTGTAATACCTTTCCCCAGGGTTTTTAGGTCTACTGACAAAGCTCAAAGTTCATGGGGGTGTGTACCTCCTTTTATACTTCTTCACAGAACAGGGAGTATAAACTACACAACACCTGGGATTGGCTTGGTGGCACATCTTCTCAGTGACTTGGTCATTATTCACACACGTGACCCACACCCAGAGATATTTTTAAATAAGTTGTAGTCTTCAGCAGACAACCCCTGGAAATGGTGTGATGACACATCTTGTCAGTAACATGGGAACCCAGATAGATGTCTCTCTGCTGAAGTAATGTACATGAGACATTACTTCTGACATACCACTACTCCTTTTCTGCAGGTGTCGGATTAGAAAGCTCATGTTATTCTCCTTATCTTAATTGTTACAAGTAGCAATATAGTTAACAGGAAAAAGTGATTTACAACACAATGATATGATCCACAGAGCTTGCTAAGTAACTCTTTCTAAGCACACATGTGGAGGAATTTACAATACTAAACTTGCTAAGTTACACACAATTTGCAACAGCTCATTGCAATATTTATCTTCTATGTGCAGAAGGAAAAAGTGGACCACATCACTATCCTTGCCAATCTTCCATGATGTCACTACATTGACATATTTATTGAAAGCATAATTTCTATATCATAAATATAATGTATACACATACATTATATATTATAAACTTTAAATATCATGCTTGGCTACATATTTATAAACATTAATAATATAAATAAAATATATAATTCTGAGAATGATTTCCAACAGTTAACCTACAATAAAATCATAATTACAAGCATACATTCAGCATAAAAAGGCAATACAAAATCATATATAACATCCCAAAATGACACCCTGGTAGTTAACAGGTGAGCTTCCATGGAAAACTCTCCAGGAGGCTAGCTGTTTTAATGAACTGTACTCCATGACATGTTATGCCAAAATAAATCCATGGCACAAGAGTCTTTGTTTTTCCTGAGTGCAACTTTAATGGATTCCTATTTATTAGACTTTGGATGTGGTGGACCAAATTTCCATCCAGAGAGCCTCCTGAAAGAATGAACC